AGTTTACCTTTCGAAAATTGCGAATCAACAGCTTTTAGGGAAAAAAGTCACCGTTTTTTGTCGAAATCAGTGTTAACAGATAGCATTTTAACATTGCGGTAATACACTTCCGCATTGCGTTGATAAAAATACTTCGTCAATACATGTAATCAGAAAACTTCGACTGTAATAATATTAATAACTTTATTGCATCCTTAGAAGTACAAATGTTCTATTGATTTACAGCAATAAATATATGACAGAGCATTTTCATGTGACCTGTTAAGTTTTCAAGAAGAAGTCGAAAAAGTAAAACAATTGACACGGACAACGGACAATCACTCATATGTTAAGCTCCGCTCGACAAAGTCGACAGCGGAGCTAAAAATGGTAACATGAAATTATTAATAACAAGGCATATCTGCAAGGTTTTCCTGTTATCATCAAAAACTATATTTAGTGTATTATATATTGATCTTCAGTACTGTTTTTTTTTTTATTAAAATAAAAATAAAATAAAAACAGTTGTATTTTTTATTTATTTAATATATATTTTTTTTCTTATTTCATCCCCACTTTATTGCAATTTAACCCAAGATCTTATAAAAGATACAATATGAATAAAGTTTATTATTATTATAAACGTGCTTGTCCACAGGGTCGGTGAAATCATGGGATATTAAAATAACACATAAAACCAAGTTTTAAATCCATGGAGAGTGGAGATTTTATTGGGTGGGTTGGGTTGAATGGTGGAGGGGACAGGCTGTCTGGGTTACATTCAAATTCCTGGATTTGGGTGATAGAGGGGGGCATATACCTGCCTTGTGGATTATAGAATGTATTTGTTATCTATATCACAAAATCATACGTAAGAGCACTATTTTTTATGTGCAACTAAGTGGTGACCTTTGACATTGCATTCACAACACACACACACATCCATACATGTACCAACAACACCATCAGTATACTTACATAGTCAACAGCATTGACATTGGCACTACTTTTCAATAATAGATCTACTGTAGCTGTTTGGCCATTTTGTGCAGCTAGATGTAGTGGAGTATGTTGTGACTGGAAAACAAATACAATGAATGTCATTTTGTATTGCCCCATCAAATATTACATCATTTTGAATTTAGCAGCTATAAAAGAAAATGCACTACAGGTTTTCAGGCGTTATTATTATTTATATGCATAGAAGTAAGAATCAAAGAAAGCTTAGAAAGAACTCCTGTGTGGTGAGAGTATTGGAGACACATTAAAAATTAATTAAAAATTACTTGTACTTGAGATATTGATGGAATAGCTTAAAATGTAAATAAGGTAACTGATATGAACAGATTTGTGTGTAAAACTAATAAGGCCTGCGTAATGTCATATCTATGTCCCAAGTTTCATTGAAATGTGATTAGAACAAAAAAACTATGAATTATTATTAGAGAATTAATATGAACAAATTTCAACCCAAAATTAATCAGGCCTGTCTATTGTTCTAGAGCATTTATGTACCAAATTTTATTCAAATGTGATGATCAGTAATTGAGATATCAGTGTTAATTAATTATTTTAATTAGGTGATTAATAAGCATAAATATTTACCAAAAACTAATTGGGTCTCTGCATAGTCCTAGGTTCATTGAAATGTGATGATGAATACTCTATAAAAGTTTCATTAAAATCCAATTAGTGGTTCTTTATATATCAGTGGAACATTCATAGAAAAAAATAACTAATTATGCGAATTAGGTAATTAATATCCACAATTATTTACCCTAAAACTAATCAGGTCTCTGCATAGTCCTAGAGGATCTATGTAGCAAGTCTCATTGAAATATGATGATCAGTACTTGAGTTATCAGACGAAAAGCTGAAAATTAACTAATTATGCTAATAAGGTGATTAATATGCACAAATATTACCCCAA